GATTCAAAGGATTTTTTTTTTTCTAACGCGGGCGCAATAGGGAAGAAAGAAAATGAAGGCATATTATATGTCAATTATGTTTTAGGCGACGCGATTGTGCTGTGCGTGGTCGCGTTGGCATATATTTGACGGGAATGCATGGATGGGGGAGGGGGCGGTTGGCTGTATACAACTACACACACACAGATCTACGCGGACAGGCAAAAGCAGGAGGAAATAAAACGGATAACTCTGTGGAGGATGGGGGAGGAGAGGATTACGTCAGTAGGGGGGGGGGGGGGGGAGAAGCGGACTGTGGCCCCCCGGGATTTCTGCCGTTGCTTCCCCATCGGACGCCATGGTTTTTTTTTTTTTGCATGACTCCTCATCTGTGCGTCTGCATGCGTCTGTGTGGGTTGAATTTTGTCTCACGCACGCCCCTGACTTTGCCCATCTTGTTTCACCCTTTATATGTATTTAGTTTCTTTTTTGTTTTTGTTTTTGCTTTTGTTTTTCTTTCTTCTCGCTTGCTTCTGTGAGATGTTGAGATATTTCATTTTTTTTCTTTTTTTTCGCTTTCGTTGTTTGTACCTCGTTCTCCGCCCGTCAATCGTGCTAATGCCCATGGAAGCTCGCTCCATCGGTTCAGCTGCGTTTTTTTTTTTTGCGCGTTCACTGTTGGGCCACGCCATGCTTCATTCACACAGCGGTTTCTTCCGCGGGCGTCTTGGACACTTTCCTTCGTTTTTGTTTTTTTTGTTTCTTTCCCTCGCGCTCTCTCACGCCTTGTTTGAGCTGCGTGAGGTGATGATGTTAGGGCTGGCGGTGGTGGCGGGGCGGTGGCGAGAATTTTTTCTTCCCTTCTTTTTCTTTCCTGTACCAATTCACGTTGTAGCAGACCTGTGACAGGGACCGGGTGTTAGCGGGGAGTTTGTTTGTTTGTTTTTTTTCCCCCCTCCCCACCCCTCTTCCTCCTCCTTCTCCTCCTCTTTTTCTCCCGTTGTGCGTGTCCACGGGCGCCACGCGTGGTGCACGTATATGTACATATGCACAATTGCGCACGCGGGCGCGTGGGCCGGCCCACCGATGTATTTGATTACTTGTCGACCATGCGATTTTGTTTGTCGGTTATTATTATTTTTCTCTGCATTTGAAACAGTTCCCCTCTAGTTAAGCCCACACCACACCCCCTCCCCCCTCCCCCCTTCTTCCTCCCACACACACACAGGCACACACACAGAGGGAGGGAGGGCGCTGCGCCTGTGCACATGCGTTTGTGTGGGTGTGCAGGAAAGAGCGAACGCCGCCGCGGAAGCTCCGCCGCCCACTTGAGTTGGACTCTCCGCAAGAGACGCAGGGAATAAAAAAAAAATAATAAACACACAAAAAAAACTAAAACGAAGAGAGAGGAGCAACTGTTGCAACAACAAAAAAAGAAGAAGCAGAATAAGAGGAAAAAGAGTAGTTAAACGCTTGCTGCATGGATGTTGATAGTGCTAAAGCGGGGCTGCTTAGGCCAGGGGAAATCAGTAGGAGGAGGAAGAAGATTGAAAGTAAGAGAGTGAAGGAAAAGACGAGGGTGCCCGGGGGGTGAATGATGCATTCC